TTTGCCACTTTTGAGATTGTCTTCATGGCCAGGCCCAGTGGCTCATGCCTATAATTCTAGCACTCTGGGAGGCAGAGGTAGGTGGATTGCTTGAGCTTGGAAGTTTGAGACTAGCTTGAGCAAGAGCAACTGTAAGACTCAATCTCTACTGAAAAGAAAAATAGAAAAACTATCCAGGAGTTGTAATGGGCACCTGTAGTCCCAGCTACTCAGGAAGCTGAGGCAAGAGGATCTCTTAAGCCCAACAGTTTGAGGTTGCTGTGAGCTGTGATTCCATAGCACTCTACTCAGGGCACACTGAGCCTCCGTCTCAAATCAAAATAAAAAATATATGTAGGTCTTTTCCCCTCCTATTCTGTGGATTGCCATTTTGATTTCTGAAAAGCGTGTAAGTTTTTCTTTCATGCATTGTATTTTTTGTGTCCTGGGTGTTGTTGAGTTGTGTGGTGGTTTGTGACTCAGCAAGAGCTAGAAGTTTAACACATATCCCAAAATAGACGTATCTAAAACTGGACTCCTGATTCTTACCTCTCACTCCCTCTCTAACCTGTACCTCCAATAGTTGTCCTCATCTCAAAAAACACAATCTATTCTTTCAGTTGTCAGGCAAAAACTTCTTTAGTTTCTTTTCCTTGCTCTACTCCATGTGCAATCACCAGCAAATTGTGTTGGAGTCTCCTCCAGAATACTTACAGTCCCTCACCATCTCTGCCACTACCACTGTGATCCAAGCCACCATGGTCTGTGCCCTGGGTTTTGGCAATAGTCCTTCCTGCTCCTGTCCTGTCCTTTCCCCATCAGTTTTCAACACAGAAGCAAGAATGCTACCTTCAAAATCTTAAGTCTGATTATGTCTCTTACCTGCTGAAAACCTTTCTAAGGCTTCCCTTATATTCAAAGTAAAACCCCAAATCCTTATATAATATCAACTCATAGCACCTTGCACAAGCTTTGCCCGGCCTCCATGCTCCCTGTGGCATCATCCTTGACCCCTCTCTTTAGCTGCAATATGGGGCTTGTGCTGTCCTGGCCTTCTTGCTGTCTTTTCAATGTTCTAAGCCAAGGTCTTTCTCAAGGCCTTTGCATTTGGTGTTCTCTATATCTGTAACACTGTGCTCTTACATATTTATGTCCAAAAATTCCTTCATTTTCTTCAGGTTTCTACTCAAATGTCACTTTGACATCTTGTATTACATACTTTATAATTTTTTTCCAGAGCACTTCTCACCACCTGATTTTTAGACATTCACTTGATATTTGTTTCTCTTCCCCTCTTTTGCCTCTACCCTGCCAAAACTTTAGGCTGTAAGTCCCAAGAGAACAGGGATGTTATTTTGTTATTGATGGATCCTCTTGGCCCCCAAATTGTAGGCTATTCAACAGTGTAATGATAGAATATTAACCAGTAACAAATGACTTAATTAAAATTTGTTTTAAAATAAAAGTGTAATTTTTGGTAAGTAGGAAAATTCTGAACATTTCCCATGCTTGGAGAATGCATTTAAGACTTGAACTATCGGCTCGGCGCCTATAGCTCAAAAAAAAAAAAGACTTGAACTATCTAAATACTCAGCAACAGAGGAGGACACCCAAATACTGGGCTGGAAAGCAGCCATTGCAATTGCTTTTTGGAATGATATCATATCATGGTATATAAGAAACTCCGGAATAAGTGTTTAGTAAGTAGGATAAAAATGATGTAGGTGGCATTAATAATGAAAAAAGCTAAAGACACAGCAAAAGGGAGAAAGAAATACATTATAATTTTAGAAAGGTTATTTCTTAGTTGCACGATAATGGATTACTTGCCTTTGTATACATGCTCTTCAGAATTTCTTACATTTTCTATAAGTTTATTTTAAAATAAGCTCATATATTTCCAGTTGCAGTGGTAACTTCAATTTTGCTTTTCTATTTTTAAAAAAGGTAACATATATGTGTATATATATACTTTTTTTCAAATCCAGAAGCCTATATTGGTATGCTTCCTTTTGTTGAGAATAACTGTAAAAGTTCATTTGCTATTTACAACCACTCATGACATAAGACATATGGGAGTTAGTGGCATCACTTACAGATATTGAAGGGTGGGTTCAGGGGGAGAGACTTAACCCCCTTCATTTGGGCAGCAGTGACAGAGCTAGGACTAAAACACAGATGAATTTCTCTATCCCCAATTTGTATTTCTTTTTAGTGATACGAAAGGAGGAAAGTGCTAGGAATGAACATGGATTTTGAGTGATCTTCATTCTCTAAGAGTATTCTCTGGAGAGTGTGAGCCCTGCAGTTCCTGCCTTATAGAGATAAGATGAGACAGTGTCCTCCTTCCTAGGTGACAATGAGTCTCTTCCATCTTCTGGATCCGTTCTTTGGCTACCATGAACTTTAATGCAACACCTTTTTCCCAGTCTCTTCTCCGGGAAAGCAACCCTCTGGATGCTCTTTCCCTTCTGGCTCCCATACTCTGAAGCTAATAGAACTTAGTTCCTTAGGGCCAGGCATACAGGAGATAATGTACCATATACCTAATATGCTCTAGTTTTTCTTTGGTAGGGTGATACGTGTCAGCATCCGGCTCCATAACACTATTCTTAGCCCCATGTATGTATTTCTTTGCTCTTTCCCTTATCCATTCCCACTAGTACCTCTCAGGGGAAAGAGGAAGCAAGCACTGTGCATAAGGCCTCAGAATTTCAGAGCTAGAACAAATGGATTCCTGCCCAGTACTCAACCTATAGTGCCATTAGAAAAGTTTAAGGAAAATAAACAAATAAATAAAAAAGAAAAGTTTAAGAACAGAGAAAAGCTTGCTTCATTGGCTTGAGGTTAGGAAGGCATTCCTTGGGGTCACGTAGAAGAGAAGGGATTCAAAACCCTTCCTTCAATGGTGGAAGGACAGATCGGTTATGCATAGGGAGGGCATGGGGAATTAGCTTCCCTTCCAGCCTTTCTCACTAGGTGGAGCCCCAGAGAGAGGCTGCTGGACGTCCTTCATTATGTTATTTCCATGAGGATGAGTGAGTTGTGATCCCTGCAAAAATATCTTTGCTCTCCCTTTTTACTAGATAATTCCCATAAAGACTCAACTATATTCTATTGTCTTCCATTTTAATGAATGCTTCTTTAACCCCATATACCCTCCAACACCCACTCCATCTTTCCAGTATTGTTTACACCTAAACTTCTCCAGAGCTGACTACATGCATGTTTCAACTCCAGATTAATCACCTGAAAGTAGAGAGATCTGAGACCAAGGACAAGGGGCAAGATCAAAGTTGAGTGGTGAAACAGAATCACTTCTTTTGAAAATTCCTAATAAAGCAGATTGGAGGACAGAAAGAAGAAGAATAGCTTTGTTGGATTTCTCTTCTGCTGGATTCTCTGGATTTCCCATGTTTATTCTAGATAGATTTTCTTTCATGCTTGGTTAAGTCTGCTGTTTCCTGCCTTATACGTATATTTCAGTTTGGGGTTTTTCTTTTCAATTCATTCTTACCCTAATGTTCATTTTTTACTTCTTGGTTTTGTCCCAAGAGGTTATATTCTACAATATATCACTGAGATTTTAGGATGGTCCATACTCCAAGCTTTGCATCTACTGTAGAGATAAAGGGAAACCTTCCCCCTTGCTCTCTAAAGGTTCACTGAAAATCAATTGACAAAAGGCAGAGTAATAGGGAAAACGGCATATAAATTCCCCAATGGGGCACAAAAGCTTTATATAGGTGCAGGAGGTGACGGGGAATGTAGACAATTCTTTTACAGGGTAGTAAATGATTATTAGGGAGAATGAAAGGACCAGGGAGATAAAATTAACTTATAAATCTGGAATTTGAAAGACAGACATTATCTTGTGAAAAAGTCCATCCAGTTGTGGTTGCACTTTCCCACCTTTGTTTCTGAAATATACCATGAGATTTCAGGCAGTGGGTAGAATGCAATTGTGTTTCTGGTAAGAAGCTTTCTTGGATAGGTAAGGAAATTCCAGAGAGAGTCCTTCCTTGGTAGGGAGAGGGGACTCTGATTCCGAGGCTTTTACAGTTATCAAAAGTACTCAGCATGCCCATTGGGAATCATTTTCTGTACTCCAATACTATACAACTCTCTTCTAGGAAACTGAGGGGACAGATATTCAATTCCAGGAGTCAACTAATGAAGACAGAAGGATGACCTATGTCTGTTAGATTGGAAGCTAAAGGAAGAGAAAACTTAAATTGGCTTAATAATAGACCAATGATCTCCACTGTGAGGGTTCTAGATATGGGGAGGGGCCTTCAGGTTCCTCATCTCTGTGATACTCTTGCCTCTACTCTCTTCTGAGTGTAGATGCCCCTTTATCAACTAAGACAGACCCTAAGGTTAAGGAAGAAAGTTACCCATGGGTTGAGAGTTCAGGGCCCAGGGCCTGGCTTACAGGGCAATTTCCCAAAGTCACACAGGCTACAAGAAAAATAGCACTTGCTTTAAACTCTTAATAATGGGAACTATCAGGGAAATTATCTGAACCTTCTCAACTCTGATTTACAACCCAAACTACTCCAACTCCAATTGGACAGTCTTTCCTGATAAGTAACTGCAGGCCTAATCCACTATCAGCCAGCTTGTGGAGGCTGTGAACAAAGGGTCTTTCTGTCTTACAGTTCACATTTGGTGTAAAGAACAAAATTCCACTTAATTTGAATGCTAAAACTCCACCCCAAAATGAATATGGGATATTTCTAACATACATGTTTACTCATTGCACATTATTTACCTCCCCAAATAAATATGTATAGCTTTCCCCTAAATTTGATGAATATGTATAACTCTACTGTGTAATATGGGCTCTGTGAGACATAAAATCCACCCAACCGGTCCTTCCCTTTCCCTCTTCTAAGAGGGAGCTCCTTCAGTCCACACCAGAGACTGTCTTTTCCTGGTTTATAAACTGATACAGCCAATAAAGCTCTCCTTTGTACTATTTAGTGATCCTGGTGGTCTTTTGGAGAAGAGTTTCATCCTTTGGTCCTTAGTGAAGCTGCAGCTGCTTCCACATGGGTGCTGTGGTCACAAAGAAGCCCAGAGTGACAGTTTTCCTTGATGGTCACTGTTCTTTTTGCTGTAACTGATATGCAGCATTTTAGGGAAACACAGTTTCTCTCTATTTGCCATTTCTCAGGTGTGCCAGATGGAGATTCCAAGATTCCATGTTGAGTTTTCCGGGAAGTGAGGCCACCAGAGGTCATGTCAGTGATGAAACTGAACAGTTTCAGGACACCCAGGGTGCCCCCAAGTTTCCTGGCAGCATCTGATACTGAAGAGGCCAGTTTGTTTCTGGGGTTGTGCTGTAAGGTTACTGGCAAAGTTGTCCTCACCTGTGATTATGGAGCTACTAAGTTGAGAGAGAACTGTGATGGGAAGAGGCAGACAAAAAGCCATCTGGTTATTTTATGTGGAAACTGAACTCTAAGCACAGACTTTAGTTTTTTGCTAATGCTGTCTGTATCTGGTATCTGGTATTGAACGACAGGTGCTCAATAAAAGAATCTGGATGTTAGAAAAAAAAAAAAGAAGAAGAGTTTCATCCTCATGTTGGCATCAAGATGGGCTGTAGTTGTTCTAGGCATCATATTCAGACATCACTATACAGAGAAGAAGGACCATTCCCTTCCAAATTTCTATTGTGTCTAAGGAGTAAGGAAGCTTTTCCCATATATCCCTCCCTATCCCCATCCCCAAGAAGTTTTCACATTTATGTCAACAGACAGGAATGCACCACATACCTTCCCAGTCTTAAATTGGCAAAGAGACTGGGATAATCATGACTGAGACTGAGACATCTCCAGGTCTCATCCTGGAACTAGCGCTGGAGTCACCTTCCTCTATGTCATGTTGAAGTAGAGTGGGTAACTAAATAAAATTAAGATTTTGTTCAGAAGGAAAAAATGGGGTGAAAGTACAAGCAGATATAACCAACTATACCTGCTACAAGTGCCACTCCAGACCTACTACATTTTCTACATAAATTGTAAGTGAAAGGAAAGTGGATCCATGTTGGGGTTGGTTGATGGCTGGCTTGAGTCCATCCAGAGGAGGGCATAGCTAGGATGGAAGTGAAAATAATCTCCATTTAAGCAAGTGTGGAGTATGTGAACTTGAAAACATCATTGTAAATATATCCACAAAATCTTACTTTGTGTACAAAGATAAAAATGATGTTAATCTACCAAGTTAAAAACATTGTCAAGGATCATAAAATTTTAAAGCTGATAAGTGGAGGGAATGTGAATGTTTTTTAATCTTTCATAGTCTGGTCACTTTAGCTGGTAAACAGAAATACTAACCCAACTTTGCAGGATCCTCTAAATAGCTGTTATTTGCACACAGTGGGGCTCTGGCAAATGAGTTTTATTACTGTCATACTATCACTTTAGCATGCACAGTTATTATTATGCCAAATATATTTACAATTCATAACAGTCATTCAACTGTTCACAAAATAGGGATGCAAGTGTCCACTGAAAAACGTGCCCTCAAACCAGTAACTTTCGAAGGAAGGTTATGCACATACAGGGCCAAGGAGAGGGGAAAACAGTGACTCTGAAACATGGTGTAGTTAATATGGCAGACAGTGTTCTGTGAAATATCAGAGGTAATGCTGGGAATAGAAAAACCAGCTTTAAAGCAAAAATATGTTACAACTTGTAAATGTGCTCCAAGAATACATCTGTCTTATTTTATATTTGTTCCCTTGAGAAAATCATTCTTGAATTATGCAGGTTCAAATTATACAAGGTCTGGTGAGATGCATCCTTCGTATGAAATAAGACCTCCCCACATTTTTATAACCAGAAATAATCCAACTTAAAAAAAAAAAAAAACCCAGTGCTGCCTGGCACTTAAATAAACAAGTTCCAGGTTGTCTTTTTAATAGGAAGACTGCATTTTTAGATTATATAATCTATCAGTTTGAATTGCTTAGAGAGTGCTTAGCAAAGCCCCATGTGCATATAGGTATAAAGGAAATGTTTTTCGGTGATAAGAATCAGGTAGTTAATATTTTCAAAGCATTTTGCTCAGACATGTGAAGAGCTAAATTAATTTCCTTGAACTGTTTAGGAGAATGCACAGTTATTAATCTAATTCGGCTTCTTATTAGTGTAAAACTCACAGGAATGCTACAATGTAACGGTCAGCTGTCAACATGATTTATGCCATTTATTATTTTTAAAGGGAGGATGTGTTTTGCATTTTGTTATTTCCACGGATAACCTCGGCAGAGTGAAATCCCATTTCTAGTTTCCGCAACGTAATAAAAAACAGGTTTGGCTTTTCAAGTTCGGTCGTGTGATTTGTGTGTGGACTTTCAATTTGTGGTGTGTCAGCCAGTGAACAGCTGATTTAATAACAGTTAAGAACCTCTACTACATAGGAATGACTGAAAGGATGTTTCTTTAGATCAATAGTATTGCCTCGTTTTACTGAGGAAATAAATCATTTTGCCCCATGGTTGCCAAAATGTGAGGTTTTCTTGGATCAATGACACAAGCCTATGTTATCTTTGGAGAGACTATGAGACCTTAGTTCATCAATCAAATCAACTTTAATTAAATCTAATTTAATGGACTGCTGCCTAATAAAAGAACACTTAAAAGAAAGCCCTAGTCGAAACACACAGGGCTTTTCTCGTCCTACAAATAGCTAAGCCACTAAAAAGATGGCGACAACTCAGTGGAGCTGGCCGGCAGATTCTCCCAGGTGACGAATGTCTGAAAGTGGCTCCCCTTCCCATATTCTCACTCAGGTCTCACCTTCTTTGTCTTTTAAAAAAAAATTTCTTTATTTGTATTCGTTTAATTAAATCCTAACTGTGCACATTAATGCATTTATGAGATATAGTGTGCTGATTTTATATACAATCTGGAATGCTTGCTTCAAACTGGTTAACCTAGCCTTCACCTCACTTACTTAATTGTTGTGTTAAAACATTTCTACTCTACTCTTAATAGATTTGACATGTACCCTTGCATTATGCACAATCGGTGAGGTCCCACCAATTACCCTCTCTCCATCCGGCCTCCCCCATCTCCTCCCCTCACTCTCCTCTTGTATAGTTCTGGGCTATAGTTGTGTTTTATCATTTGTAAGTATCTCAAGAATGGAAGAAAAGGTAAGTATCCAATGTACTCAGTACAATTATGAAACCAATATATGATCACCCACCTTTCACAAGAAAGGTCTCACCTTCTAATGCAAGAGGAAAAAGCTGCAGGTGATATAGGCAGGATCCGAATCATCTTTAGGTTTTCACTGTCAAAGGACAGGGATCAAGAAGCCACTTCACTTTCCCTGTATTCTCTGACACAACTCTGTCTTTTAAAAAAAATTGTGCAAATATTTATGTAACAGAAACTTTCCCACCTTAGCCATTTTGAAATGTACATTTAATGGCATTAGTTACATGGATAGTATTGTGAGACCATCACCACCATCTATTTCCAAAGTTTTTTTTATCAGCCCCAACAGAAACTGTACCTTTTAAGTGATAACCCTTCACCTGCCCTCCCTCAACCCCTCGTGACCTTGAATCTATGTTCTGTCTCTATGAGTTTTCGTATTACAGAGCTCTCACATGAGTAGCATCAAACAATATTTGCTCTTTTCTGATTGGCTTAATTCATTTGGCATTGTGTTTTCAAGATTCATCCCTTCTATAGCATGTTCCAGAACTTCTTTCCTTTTTAAGTTTGTTTCTGGGAAACTAACCCTTGACACACAGTAGGAGGACAGTATATCTGTGGTGATCTAGAGGGCACAGGGGAGACTTCTCTGAGGTAGCAACATTTGCACAAAGCTCTGAAGAATGTCAGGGTTATCTGAGTAAAGCAGAGCGTAGAAGGTGGCTGGAAGAGCAGGAGAAAACCCTGAAGCAGAAGCAGAACCCAGGACCCAGTCCTGGCTGGAGAACTGAGCCCCAGGTGATGGTCACAATGTAGGCGGTGCTAGATTACCTGGAGCTTTTTAAAGACTATATTAAAGATTTTGGATTGGAGAGAGAGAGTGTGTGTGTGTGTGTGTGTGTGTATGCACACACATGTGTATGCATCACAAAGTATCATGTATGCATTTTGAAAAATCATTCTGGCTGATGTATGAATCATGGATTAGAAGTAAAAAAAAGGCCTGAGCACTGTGGCTCACACCTGTAATCCTAGCACTCTGGGAGGCCAATGCCCATAGATCACATAAGCTCAGGAGTTCACAACCAGCCTGAGCAAGAGAGCGACCCAGTCTCTACTAAAAATAGAAAAACTAACCAGGTGTTGTGGCAGATGCCAGTAGTTCTAGCTACTTGAGAGGCTGAGGCAAGAGGATCCCTTGAACCCATGACTTGGAGGTCGTTATGAGCTATGATGCCATGGCACTCTACTCAGGGTGATGGTCTCAAAAATTAAAATAAAATACATAAATAAAACAGGAGGGAAAAAAGAGCTGGGTATGGGATGTCAGAGGGCAACTATGATAGTCTAGGCAAGGGATGCTTGTGGTCTGGTCTGGTGTCATTTCCGTTGCATGCAGAAAAAAGAAATGGATTCAAGAAATCTTGCAAAGATAAAATTCTCTAAGAGGGTAAGTTTTATGTAATGTATATTTTATTGCCATTAAAAAAAGCCACCTGGCCATGGTGCTAGGATCTGGGCAGAAGGGACAAGGAGCAGCAAGGATGCCCACATTTCAAGCAGGGGCGGGCGGGTGACAGACTCCTCCAGGAGCAACAGTTTGTATCAGGAAGTTCCCACATTCAGTTCTGTCTGGACAGCTGGATGTGCAGATGCTATTTATGGACGTGATATCTAGATCTCAGGGTGGCAAAATCTCAGCCATCGGGATCCAGTTGAGAAGCAGGTCTTGGTCCCTGGGAGGAAGTGGCGAGAGCAACGTGAGGTTCTGGGAGTAAACACACCTGTAAAGCAGAGAAGGTTCTGGTTAACAGAACTGAGCTTTGGAATATCAAAACTGTCAGAACCGGGATACCTTGTCAAGGGCAGAAACAATGTTTCCACGCCCATGTATATAACTTTTCACAGTTTGCATTTTCCAAAGTAACATGGACTATTAATGTTATGGGGCTATGATGGACATTTCTGTTGACCAA